GAGAGAGAGAGAGAGAGAGAGAGAGAGAGAGAGAGAGAGAGAGAGAGAGAGCTGGTGTCTGAGCAGCCAGGGTAGACCTTTTTAAAAGAGTTGACTCTCCTCTTAGGCAGTGGTTCTCAACCTGTGGGTTGGTCTCACTGAACCACATCAAGATGTCTGGCCCTACGCCTAGTGAAGGCTCCCCTGCCTCTCCTCTATAGAAAGGCTTTATGCTCCTGTACTCACTCCCAGCAATGTATATAGTAAGTAGCCTGCACCTCGGAGAGATGGGTATAGGATGACCCTGAATCCCAGTGTCTGGGAAGCTCGAAAGAGCCTGCTTTTGGACCACATGCCAGGTGTGTGCCTCCCTAATCTCTGCATCCCCCCCCTTTCCCCCAGCCAATGAGGTCAAGGAAGACAAACTTCCCCATAGATCCCCAAACCTCAATGCTGCTCTCAGCCAGCACAGCACAGCCACACAGGCCTTCCCTTTGCTCTGCCTCCCGGCACTGGGGAGGGATCAATTTCCAGCCAGTCCTGCTTGCCTGCAGGCTCTGTTTCTTCCTGATAATGCATGAGTAACCTGGTTATGTCCTGGCGGCCGGGGCCTCCTCACCCATTCTGTCGCCTTCCCCAGAAAAGACTAATAGGGAAGGGAGAAGAGGGGCCATAAAGCATGAAGCCTCTTCCTTTCCTGCCACCCCTCCATCAACTCCCCACACCTCTGACCCTTCCCTTGCCACTCAGCAACTATTTATTTAACAGTGACTACATGCCAAGGCTGGTGCCAAGCACTGGGTGACAAATAAGGCCAGGACCTACCCTCAGGAAACTTAGGGCTGGGAATGGGAGGAAGAAATAGCAAACAATTCCAGAGTGGGAGGGATGAGTGACACTGTGGAGGTCTCTAGGAACCCCAAGGCCTCCAAGTTGAGGCCTCTTGGCAAAGCCCAAGGGAGGTGAGTGTCAGCTCATGGGTGGTCCTAAATGGAAGACAGAGTTGCAGACTCACCCAGTTTACTGTTCTGGAATTTATGGTACTTAAAGGTGACTTATTTCCCTCTCTGAGTTTGGAGGGAAACTCATGAGGAGGGCCATGGCAAGGGCTTTGGGCAGGGTTTGCCTCTAGGAAATTGATTTTGGCTGCAGTGAGCTTGGAGGCATGCCTAGATTCCAGCCAGGGGCTCTGCCACTTAGGACCTGTGTGTGCCTCTGGGTCAACCATTTCCTCCTCAGACCGCGGGGTTCTCATCTGTAAAAAGCACATAGGGAGCTGGGGATCAAGATGAGTATTTTTATGATACACCTGGACTATAAAGAACACAGAGTGGGTGGGGGTGGACAGAGACGGTGAAGCTGCCCCTGCTCCTGCCTTGCCCCGCCCCACCCCCCTTTCTTTGTGCTTCTCTGTGATCTCCGAACGTTCTTGATCCGTTGTTTATCAGGGAAAGATCATACAGAGAAGCCAACAGAATGGCCAGGAAGCAGCCTGGGCGGGACTAGGGTTTGAGCATGTGCCTATTCTCAACATTGCTAGAGCTGCCAGGGCAGAGGTGCAGCTCTGGAAGGCCCAGTCCCTGAGGCAAAGGAATGAGCCAATTGAGTCAGAACTGAGAATCTCAACCCCTAGAATCGCGCTCTACAATGAGTCCTATTGCCCATGCCATCTCAACTTCTGAAGTTTCTCTACCATACTGAAGGGTAGGAGGAAGATTCGAGAGCTAGGGACCGACCTACCCTGAAGTGGATAAGTAAGCCCCGGGTTCTCTATGGTTTAGGAGGCAGCAGGCTGTCCTAACTCTTACCAGAACCATTCACCCAACAACCCATGTATTTTTTTTTTTTTAAGCTTTCAACCAGGCCTGCCAGCGCCAGTCTCCAACTGCACAACCATGGAGGCCCTGGGTACTGGAAGCGGCCGCACCTCTCCGGCCTCAGACACTGGAAGCCTGGACTTGCGACGGTTGTCCACGCGCGCCGACTCGGCCTACAGCTCTTTCTCCGCGGCATCTGGTGGTCCGGAGATGCACACACCATCTCCTGGCACCGAGATCCTTCCTTACCTAGACTGGGACTACGTGCGCGTGGTTTGGGGCAGCAGATCCCCTACCCCGCGGGACGCTGTCCATCCAACTACCCAGCGTCCCGAGCCAGTAGTCGCTGGGCACAGTGACCCGCGGCCCCCAGAGGTTCAAGGAAACCCGGGATCACTGAGCAGACAGGACACCCCGCTGCTGTATGCGTTGGCAGCCGAGGCTGAGGCTGGTACACTCACCGCTGAGCCACCCAGCCCCCCAGCCTCACGAGCCGCCTACCGCCAGCGACTGCAGGGTGCGCAGCGACGAGTGCTGCGGGAGACATCCTTCCAGCGAAAGGAGCTCCGCATGAGCCTGCCCGGGCGTCTGCGGCCCGCGATCACCACGAGGCCACCCACGGTGCACGCGCGCTCTGCCTCTAGCAGCCACGAGGCAGGAGAAGCGGAGCCGGCGCGCACCGCTGTCCAAGCGGTGGGTGTTCCTGGCCGGGGGCGTCTGGCCAGCCAGCAGCGGATGTGCTGTTTTTCAGAGCCAGGCAAACTGCATCGCGTGGGTTGGAGCGGCGGACCCACGGGTGAGGGCTTGAGAGAGGCTTGTTCCACCCAGGAGTTGCAGCGTGGGGCGCACACTAAGTCCAAAAGGCTGCTGCAGGAGACTCAGTCCCTAAGCTCAGTGGAGCTGGATTCGCCGTCCGTGCATCTTCGCAGTGCCTGTAGGCCTGCGGGTCGCAGTCAGAGCATATCAGGCGAGGTCATGGGTCGCCGCACGAGTTCAGAAAGGACCCTGGCCACTGTCCAGGTATGGAAGATAAAGGCTGGTGGGGAGGGCGACATCTGGGAGACAGCTCTATTTCAAGCCACTGTTCATTTTTCTAGGCTGTTCCTCAAAGGACGGAAACCCCCAGACCTTTACTTCAGATCAAGTTTTCCAGGTGAGAGACATGGGACTCTCTGGGGACAGAGTTGTCTGGAGTCAACTTTCACAGCTCTTGCTTAAAAAGGAATCACGGGTCCTGTATTCATTACTTTCCCTATTGTCGTGACCAAATTCCTAACGAAGGGGACTTAGAGAAGAAATACTTATTTTGGCTCAGGGTTGAAGAGAGTAGAGTCCATCATGGTGGGGAAGGCATGGACGCAGGGAGCACCAGGCCTCTCAGAAAACAGATTCCTGCTGGTGCTCAGCTTTATTTCTCCTTTCTCAATTTATTGTTCAGTCTAGAACCCCCAACCCATGGGATGGCACTGCCCACATTCGGGGCGGGTCTTCCCTCCTTGGTGACACCTCTCTGGAAGCCCCCTCACAGTCAGCCACAGGTGTGTCTCCTAGGCGATTCCAAATCCAGTCAAGCTGACAACAGATTGGTCATTATAAGAAAGTCTACCTCCCTGAGTTCGAGACTCCTGTCTTTTGCAAACTGCATGTGCTGCTGTTTCTATGGTGCACTGGAAAGGCCCTCTTTCATGGTCGTTGTAGGGTCCCTGCCTCTAGGTTCTTGACTCAGAAGGAGGCGGCAGTGGTGTGTCCTGCAGAGGTCCTCCAGAGCAGCCCAGCTGACTCTGGTCAGGGGGTCCCTGAGACCATCAAGGTGTCTACTCCGTACCCCTCCCTCCCGGATGATGATGTGTTCCTGGAAGAAGCTGAGACACCACCACCTCAAGAGTCTCATGCCCCTCAGGGGCTCCCAACCAGGTGAATCCCCAAGCACAGGGAGACATTCTCCTCGCACAGAAACATCTAGAAAATGCCAGAGGGCGGGGGACTCTCTCTGGTAATGTTCAGGTGTTGGGGATGGGGGCAGGCTGTCCTTGAGAAGTCAGCTGGGCCAAAGCCTTCCTTTTCTGATTCAGTAGCTCCTTCACTTCTAGGGATCTCCACGCTTCTGACCAGCGGTCTGAAAATGACTTAATCAAAAAAGCTGGCCAGATTACAGCCTCGGCAGAGAGCCCCTTCCACAAGGGCCCAGGGATCACAGGAGAGGAAGACAATTGGCAAGGCCTGAACGGTTCTGAGGGTTCCTCCAGACCCACAAGCCATAGCCCTCCTGGGACTACAAATGACGTCCCAACCTTTGACACTACTGAACTGCTGACCGCTGGTCCCTCTACAGCTACAGAAAACAATCCCCTCAAGCGTCCCTCAGTTGATGTCCTGCGACCTTTAGGCTCTGAGATCCCAGACCCCCCTCACCACACTTCCCTGACCTGGGGCCAGCCTGGTCCTAAGCCGACCTGGCCTAGTCGGCATTTTGAGGAGCTGGTTCAGCAGCTAGCCAGACTGGATCCTTCTTTGAGTGACACTTTTGCTGCCCAGCCGGGTCCAGAGCCTCCTCTGGGTCTGCTGGATGGGCTCTTTCCTGCCGCTGCTGCCGAGGTCTTGGCTGCAACGAGGCCAGCCTGTGAGGACGCAGGAGAGGAGACCACTGGAGCTTCTGATGCAGGGTGAGCGACAGGCAGGCTCTAGGGACTCCTGATTCTGAGTCTGCAGACTAGGGAAGAAAATCTCAGAGAACTCTGGCTTTGTCCTCAGGTCCTGCGGAAGCCCCTTTACCCAGGAACTGCCGACTGCCCAGGAAGCATCAACGTCGGAAAACTCTATACCTCACCCTGTGCCTGACCAGTCAAATGACCAGGGACTCCCGAAACCAAACAGCATTCAGGTCAAGAAAGTGAGTCGGGAGTGGTGGGGAAAGCTGGGGTGGTGGGGGAGCTTAGTGTCTGGGAAAACTCCCGGGTTTGGCCCAGTTCTTGAATACCTAGGCCCTCCCTCCAGGTGGAGCTAGCCCACCTTCTCCAGAAGATGCTCCAGGATCTTCACGCTGAGCAGGAGAGACTGCGGAGTAAGGCTGCAGACTGGACCCAATGTCACGAAGATCTGGAGGCTGCAGTGAGCCAAGCCTGTACACCCCGGGAGCTGGAGCGATTCCGTCAGTTCATGACTGATCTAGAGCGCGTGCTTGGTCTTCTGCTGCTGCTGGGTAGCCGCCTGGCCCGTGTGAACCTCGCTTTGGCCAGGGTGGGCTCAGACAGCGATCCTGATGAAAGGGTAAATGAGGCTGGGGAAAGGAGCTGGGCTAGGAGGGTCTGAGGTCTACAGCCCGGACAATCCCCGGAGCAGCGGTGCTCACTGCGCCCTCTCATGGTGGTTCCAGGCCTCGCTGCTGCAGCGACTACGGCTTCTACAGCGACAGCAGGAGGACGCTAAGGAGCTGAAAGAGCACGTGGCGCGGCGGGAGCAAGCCCTGCGTCAGGTGTTGGAGCGGGAGCTGCCCGCAGAGCATCTGCGCTCCTATTGTGTGCTGCTGGCCGCCAAGGCCCGGATCCTATCCCAGCAGCGCAGCCTGGACGACCGAATCCGGTTCCTTAAGGAACAGCTGGACACCATCTGGAACGACTTCAGTTATCACCCCCTTTCTCCCAGACTGTCCTGGGCCCCAGGAATCCATCCTCTGAATAAGCCACTTTTTCCTGCTACCCCTATCTAATTACAGGTGGTGGAGGTGAGGGGTATTGTTCAGTCTCACGCTCCACTGGGGTCATGCTTTATCTTGAGAGAGCTTTCTCTTGAGGTACGAAGGACTAGAGAGTCCTCAGACTAGGCCTTCCCAGGACACATTTTCCCACAGGGTTCTGCGGGGTGGGGAAGAGGGGGGAGCTTACTCAAGCTTGTGATTATTTGGGAATTAATGTATGGGTTTTACAAACTGCAGTATTCAGTAGGGCGGTGATCGCATATGCCCTTAATCCCAGCACTCCAGAGGTAGAGGCAGGCTGATCCCTGTGATTCAAGGCCATCGCTGAGTGAGTGAGCTCCAGGATAGCCAGGGCTGTTACACAATGAAACCCCCTGCTTGAAAAACAAAACAAAAAACCCCAACAAGAACAAAAACAAAACAGCACACCCCCCTGGGGAAAAAAAACACTGCAGTATTCAAACCTGGCCTGGTGGTAATGTTGCTGTAATCCTAGCTACATGGGAGGCTGAGGCTGGGAGATTTTAAGTTCGAGGCCTATCTGGACTACAGATGGAGCTAAACGCCAGTCTGGGCAACTTAGGAGACTCTGTCTCATGATAAAATGTAAAAAGGGGCTGGAGAGGGCCGGAAAGAGGGCTCAGCAGTTAAAATCACTTGCCGTTCTTCCAGAGGACCTGTGGTCCTTCTCCAATATTCATATTGGATGGCTCACACCCACCTGTGACTCTGGCCCCAAGGGATCTGACACCCTCTGACCTGCACACAGTTGGTTCACAGACATACATGCAAGCAAAACACCCCCCAATAAACAAATAAAATTCTAAAATAATTTAAAGAGGAGGCTAGAGATAGAGTTGGGTTGCAGAGTGCTTGCTTGACGTACGTGAGACCCTAGGTTCAGTCCCTGGTACAGCGTGGACAAATGAGCACAAAGCCTGCACGCGCCTCTTGTGGCGAGTCCCTCTGTCAGAGCTGGTGGGAGGTAGGAGTCAAGACAGAACACTGCAGCTTAAGAGGCAAACAGTATTGTGGTTTATTTTCTAATAAATTTTCTTAGAGAGGCATTATGGAACATTCCTTTACACCGTGTGAGTATGCGTCACTGTGATTGGGTTAGTAAAGATGCTGACTGTCCAATAGCTGGACAGGTAGAGGTTACCCAGGACTTATAGAAAAAAGAGGACACAGAGAAGAAGAGGAGTCTCAGAATCAGGAGGAGACAAGGAGAGGAGGAGATGAACTTGTACTGAGCAAAGGTAGCGAGTGGTAAAGTGTAGATAAGAAATATGGGTTAATTTAAAATGTAAAAGCTAGCAGGGCAGTGGTGGCACACGCCTTTAATTCCAGCACTTGGGAGGCAGAGGCAAGAGGGTCAGTGTGAGTTCAAAAAAAAAAAAACAAAACAAACAAAACAAAATAAGAAAATAAAATGTAAGAGTTAGCTAGTAACAAACCTGAGCTATTGGCCAAGCATTTATAATTAATATTAAGTCTCTGTGTATTTATTTTGAAGCTGACATCCAAAACTCCACCTACAGGCCTGTGTTGTCTGCACAGGTTGGGGGGTAAAAAGGAAGGAGTTTTGTTGACAAACTGCAGCAGCCCTGGCTCACTAGAGCTGAAGAGGGCCTTGGTGGAATATCAGTCTGGCCCAGCTGAGGGGCACGCCACTGACCACCAGCAATTGCTAACCGAATCGCTACCACAAAAACTTAGGTCTTGGGCCAGTGAGACGATTCGGGCGGTAAAAGTGCTTTCTGTACAAACCTGATAACCTGAGTTCAAAGTCCAGATTCCACAGGAGAGAGCCAGCTCTCAGAAGTTGTCCTTTGACCCAACACGAGCGCCATGGCATTCATATATGCTCAAACATGGTCTTTTTCCAACCGTCGTCAACCAACCACACCCTCCTCCAAAAAGAGTAAGAAAGTCCACTGAGCTTAGAGTCTCTTATCACAGCACCTGCTAAGCCAAGGTGGGAGCGTTTTCTTAAGAGCGCTGAGTCGTAGACTGACCTAGCTACATATAGAGAGCTTCGAACACATCTCAAACCAAGAACAAAACTGACCGTATCCAGCTTTTGGTCTGAGACCAGCTCTAGATCAGCCAGGCCAGAAGAGAGGATGGGAGCTGAAGATGAAGAGGAGCGTACCCAGAAATAGTGGGTGTGAGGCCTGGAGACCCAGAAAGGTAGCGAGGGCTTGTACTGTATTGGGGAAAGCCTGACCTTGGGTGGTCTGTGATAGCCCAAAACACAGGACAAATCCCTCTCTATTTGTGCAGGAGCCCTGAGTGCACAGAACCAGTTCTGCAGATGAACATGAGTCCAGTTTGAGTATTGAAGCTGCAAACACTGGGATAAAAATATATGCTCGCAAAAGCTCAGGGTATTTTGGAAGTTAGACACATTAAAAGGCGTGTGTGTGTGTGTGTGTGTGTGTGTGTGTGTATTTAATACTACTGACCCCAAAGTGAGAAATCTGCTTCTGGGCTTGTTTTCTGATGCGTTCTGTCACTCAGTGCAACTGGTTGGGAATTTTAAATGGTAGTATTCATACTAAAAACGTTAGTTAGTTGCAACAGTCGGGCTATTGAGCCCAGAACAATGTTCACATTGAGTCATTTTGTAAAAAAAAAAAAAAAAAAAAAAAACATATGGGGATCATATGAGGCCATTGTGGCTTCTAACATTATGCTTTGCGTTGTTGCTTTGAACCTTGTGGGCGGGCCTGGACTCCAAGGCCATAGCAGAGCCAGCTCTCTTGGAAGCTACTCATTTCTGCCTATTGCCCTACGCAGAGTCCATTGCTTGCTTCCGTTACGATGTTATTAGACCCACACCTGACACTGTCCACTAAGTCAACGGAAAGTTGTGTATTTCAAAGCACGTAGAGCTTAGGAGTGTGGATAGAGACAACTACCATCTTCTGCCTAAGTGAACCTTGGTGCTGTGCTGGATTTTTCCAAGGGGGAATAACGAGATTTCTGTGCTCCACCCTTCTAGTCAGCTAGAGCATCCCCCTCTCCCCATAGAGCCACAGTTCCAGCGCTCATCCTTGTGTCTAGCCTATTCGTGTCTCCTTCTTGCCTCGGTTTTTCTCCTGTCCAATCGATGATTTCTTCTGAGGGCACCCAGGAGTTCAAGACAGAGATTCTGTTTCGGCATCCCAGACCTCAAGATTTTGGGGGTACCTGAAACCGGTAGCATTGACCCTGCGGCGCACCGCCAGCAGAGGGCACTGTTCCCTTACCATGGAAGCTTCCGCCCCCACTGTGGCCACCCGCCGCCTAGCAAACTCGCACACGCTTCAGGCTAGCCTTGGCCTGGCTCTGATTGGCAATGTCCCTATTGGGCTTGAAAGCTGGAACTGAGTCTTTTGCTTCTGTAGGAAAGAAATTCTGACTAAGAAAAAAAGGGCTGACTCGCTTTTCACAGCCACCAGGCCTACGTTGGGAAATTGTTGACTGAATGAGATGTGCCGGGGAAGAAAGGCGGGGATGTGGACCCAGAGCATGCATCCTGGAATGTATCTGTCCGCCGCCTCCGCGGCTTGAGCGGTGACTTGGTTTCGTGCACGCCTCCCGCTGCTGGAGGCGGCGCCCTGGGCTTTGCTGGATGTTTGGCTTGGGCTGCTGTTGCTGGGCAACAGGCATCACCGCGGCCTCCCGCTCATTCCGCCCCCGCTACTCCTCCTCCCAAGAATTTAATTGGTGTACTTTTTTACTTTCATACTGTAAATTGGAAATGGAATGGGGAAGCTGTGTTCCTCTGCGCCCCAAGCTGTCGAGAACATTCTGCTCGTTACAAAATGTACCTAGGCCAGCGACTAGCAGAAACTCTGGGGGTTCTCACTGAGACTGATGGAGGCACTGGCCATTCAGATGGCAGAGGCTCCCGGGGGAGGTTAGGGCAAATGCGCTGTGCCTGAATGGTGGGGACTGAGAAGAAGAGGACATTCACTGTGAAGAAATCCTCTCAAGACTTTAGTATTATTGCCACTGCCTGTTATCTTTGGTATTTAAATCACTCTGCACTTCCCACCAAGAGAATTTGTTTTCCTCTGAGAAAGCGATGGATTAAGGTATTTTCTCCGCCCCCCCACACCTCACCCTCTCCCTTTCTCTGCTATATCCTGCTCTCTTCTAGACCGTCTCTTTTCCCTCCCTCTTCCCTTTCTGCATCCTTTCCTCCCTGGCTCCCTTTCGCTTTCCCTCAGAGGTTCAAGTCCAGAGGTGTGGCCATTCCCTCACGGTGAGGCCAATTCCTGTAGACAAAAGGCCACCTGGAGAGGAATAACGAATCTATTTATGGAACCATTACAAAAGATTACACAATTTCTTCCAGAAAAAAAAGCTCCCCCTTTTAAGTTTTATCTATATTTTATTTTGTGTGCATTTTGCCTACATGTATGTCTATGCACTGCGTGCATGCTTGGTGGTGGCTTTGGAGGAAAGAAGAAGAAATCAAATCTCCTGGATCAGAAGTTACAGATGGTTGTGAACCACCATGAGAATGCTGGGAACAGAGCAACCAGGGAGTGCTCTCCACTCCCGAGCTACCTCTTTAGCCCCCTGGGAGCATCTTTATAAAGACTGACGGTGCTGCAGTTCACTTGGTGGGTGTTTAGGTAGGTAAGGTAAGGATGGTTGAGAAAAGCAGTTAAGAAAGACAGCGTTCACTTGGGAAGCAGAAGCAGGTGGGTATTTGTGAGTATGAGGCCAGCCTGGTCTACAAAGTGAGTTCCAGGATAGCCAGGGCTATACAGAGAAACCCTGTCTCGAGCCACTCCCTCAAAGGAAGAAAGACAACCAAGTGAATAAAGACAGCGGACGCCAAGCTCGACCACCTGAGTTTCATCTCTGGGACCCACACAGTGGAAGGGAAGGACTGACTTCTGAAAGTCACTCTCCGACCTCCACACATGTGCCACGTCACATGCATGCCCACACACATACGCATAAAATACATAAAAATGTAACAAAAAGTTCAGTGAGGGTGGTGTACGCCTTTAATCGCAGCACTCGGGAGGCAGAGGCAAGAGGATCTCTATGAGTTCAAGGCCAGCCTGGTCTATAGAGCGAGTTCCAGAACAGCCTCCAAAGCTACAGAGAAACCTGTCTTGGAAAAAAAAAGTAATAAAATATTAAAAGAATGATATTGTTGGGGGATGGAGAGATGGCTCAGTGGTTAAGAGCATTGCCTGCTCTTCCAAAGGTCCTGAGTTCAATTCCCAGCAACCACATGGTGACTCACAATCATCTGTAATGAGGTCTGGTAACCTCTTCTTGCCTTCAGGCATACACGCAGACACAATATTGTATAAATAATAAATAAATAAATATTAAAAAGAATAATATTGTTTATTCTGAAGATGATAGTTGTTATTTTGAGACAGGGCCTTAAGTAGCCCAGGCTAGCCTTGAACTCCTATGTAACAACACTCAGGATGACATTGAATCCCTTCTCTTCACCTCATGGGGTTACAGGTATGTACCACCAGACCCATCATCCACTAATTCTATTGTAATAAATAAATTAATTAATTAAATTTAAAAAAAGAGTCTCACTATGTAGCCCTGACTGGCCTGGAACTCACAGAGATCCTTCTGCCTCTATCTCCTGAGTGCTGGGATTGAAGACAGACATCATCATGTCTGGCTTAGATTAAAAAAATATTTTTCGATACATAGCAAGTATATAAACTGACTGCATGGCCACTCCAAGGTATGGTCAAGTGGAAAGTTCCTACTGTGGCTGTGAGGGAGAGCGCATCCAGAGGCATCTGGAAGAGTCTAGAGCAGCCAGAGAAAGTAGTGGATTGCCATGGCCAGCAGACTGAACCTGCCATGAGGGGGGAGAGAGAGAGGAAGGCAAAGAGAATGCCAGCAGAGGAGACCAAGAGCAGCAGGGCTGAAATAGGAAGGGTGTAGCAAGGATGAGAAGCTGGGGAGAGGGAAGCCCATGGGCCGGAGAAGTGCAGGGTCAGGGAGGGGGAAGAGCCAGGAAGCCAGCATGGATTCTGAAGTGTGTAAACGGTACTTGTGGTCCTGCAGGAGCCTGGAG